GAAAAAGTGGAGACCCAACAGTACGCAACATTTTGTTGCGGGTCTCCACTTGTGCTTATCTAATTCCCTTTTGAAGCCGTCCATGCTTGTAGCCGCCACCACTTCCTGTGGCAGTGAATTCCATGTGTTAATCACTCTTTGGGTGAAGAAGTACTTCCTTTTATCCGTTCTAACCCGACCGCTCAGCAATTTCATGGAGTGCCCACGAGTTCTTGTATTGTGAGAAAGGGAGAAAAGTACCTCTTTCTCTACCTGCTCTTTCCCATGCATAATCTTATAAACCTCGATCATGTCACCCCTCAGTCGTCTTTTCTCCAAGCTAAAGAGCCCTAAGCGCTTTAACCTTTCCTCATAGGGAAAGTGTTCCAGCTTTTTTATCATTCGAGTTGCCCTTTTCTGCACTTTTTCCAAAGCTATAATATCCTTTTTAAGGTGTGGTGACCAGAACTGCACACAGTATTCCAAATGAGGTCTCACCATTGATTTATATAGGGGCATTATGATATTGGCTGATCTGTTTACAATACCCTTCCTAATAATCCCCAGCATAGCATTTGCCTTCTTTATTGCAGTCACACACTGTCTCGACATTTTCAGTGAGTTATCTACTACAACTCCAAGATCTCTCTCTTGATCAGTCTCTGCCAGTTCAGACCCCATCAATGTGTATTTATAGTTAGGATTTTTGGCTCCAATGTGCATCACCTTGCACTTGGCCACATTGAACCCCATTTGCCATGTTGACGCCCATTCGCCCATCTTTGACAAATCCCTTTGGAGTGCCTCACATTCTTCAATGCCTCTTATTAGCAAATAATTATTTCTCTTTCAGAAATCCAGATCACTGCAGGATCCTGGCCATTGTCCAGGTGGATTTAGGAGGAATGCTGCTTCCTTCGGTGGTAGAGTCAGTTATGCCAGCTAGCCTCATGACCTTGATCACAGACTGCAGAGCCGGCATTAAGAAACTGAAGTAACCGGACGCCCCAAGAAAAGCCTACCGGAGAGTGGAATGAAGGTTGTTCTTGGTTAACATGTGTGCAGCTGTCACTGAAGTTTGGTTTCATTTAGGCTTAAAGGGAATATGTTCATTTTTTCAGCAGGGGCCAAAACGAAGCAGGCCAAAGGTCCATCTAACCTGCCATTTTGCTTTTGAAAGCGGCCACACAAGATGCACCCAGGAAGTTCTCCAACAGTGTTTCATGGAGGCGGCCATCTGCTGAAGACTTTAGGGAAAACGCAAGTGTGTGGTCATGCCAACTGACAGCGGTTTCCAGAGGAAACTGTGATTTCTTTTTCCTCCCTCAAGAATCCAAAAACAAAGTGCTCTGGCTAAATTAACCTAGTGTTGTGTCAAAGTGCTCTGGCTAAATCGCACCTTGTTCATAAGAAATGGCTCCAAGGTGACCATTTCACATTCAGAGCGCTAGAACAGACCGAGGAACAACCAACTGTACCACTTGGGTAGCTTGCCACCATTCCAGCCTTTCATCCAGGGCCAGACTGAAAAGAGATCCTGGGATTCCACCACAGGGAGGAATAAATGAAGTAGACTTACAAAGCTCCCCAAATGACTTTTTCCAAATCCTGTATTTTACAATATGTTTGAAGTATCTGACCCAGGGCTTTTTTTTGTAGAAAAAGCGCAGCAGGAACTCATTAGCATATTAGGCCACACCTCTAACAGCACAGCACATTAGCACATTAGGCCACACCCATGCCTCCCCTTGGCTTGCTTGGGTGCCCAGCGGCTGTGTGGAGCCCGGGCAAGCCGGCCCTTGGACAGGCCAAAGGGGGCATTTAAATGCCTCCCCTAACCTTCCAGGGCCCCCTGGCCTGCCCGCCTTGGAGTCGCCGAGGGGGGGGGTTTTGCTCTCCAGGCCTTCCCCCTGTAGCCAGGCACGCAGAGGTTTTGGCTGTAGTGGGCGTAACCAACTCTGAAGCCAGACGGAACTCCATTCCTGTTCATTCCTGCCCAAAAATAGCCCTGATCTGATCTAAGGCTCACTCCATAGTCTGGGGGGGAAAGAAACTTTTATTTGCCCTCAAACGTTACAAATCTTTTAATGCAGGGAAACATTTTGTTGCAATACATACAGTATTCTTTATTCGCAGTATTCACATTTTAAGGAGAGGTTTTCAAGGCTTATTTCCTTGAACTTTCCCTTTCACTTATCGGGACCACAGAGTTTACAGCCCCCCCCCCCCGGTCCATTTATCTTGTCTTCATGATCCTCACGGCCCCCTACTCATCTTTCCCTCCGTGAGATTTCACGCTTTTATTTCCACAGATCAAAAGCCCAGTGCCAGAGGATCCACGGCTAAAGAGAAAAGGTTGCTGAGGTGGTTTCTTAGTTGTTGTTCTGCCCTCGCTATTTTAATAAATAAGCACTTCGGGGAAAGAACTTGGGTAGAGGTGACACTGTAAGATGGGGGGGGGGAGGGTCTGAGTTCTTTGGAACTGTCCCACTTCATACTATAGTTTGCATATAGGAATGGGTTGCAATTTTAAATACTCCTGTACGTTAACATTTTTTAAAAAAATCCTTCCATATAGGAAAAAAAAGTACATTGCAAAGTTCTAGCCTAACTTCACTGTTAGGTGCTAGCTTTCTAGGTGCGGGGAGTGGTTCGCTGCCATCCCTGTCCGCAGGCTGGCGTATATGCCCTGCCAGTGTACATGGTTTTCCCCCTAAATATGCATCATCTTATTCCATCCAGTTTTAGCACAACACCTCACGAAAGATATGACTGACGCAGCCCAACACAAGCGAGATAAATGTGTTAGTCCAAGAAACTGGGCCCCCAAGAAGACCTCCCTGTTATTTAGGATCCTCTCCCCTTAATCCAAGAAAAATGTCTTTCCTTTTGGGCTGTCAGGCCTTCCTTATGAAATCTAGCCAGCCACAAGCATCACATTATAGTTCCAGAATAACTCAGCTATACAAATGCATGGGTCAGTTTCCCACTGCTCGTTTCGCTACAGTCCTATCCAAACCACATTTCCGCCAGCAGCCACCGTGCCTAGGGCCTTGCTGTAATCAGGCTGGTTTAAAATATCTTAATAAACTGTTTGACTGCCGGGGTGAAGGCCGGCCTCCTGTTTTTTTCATTTTGAGCTTGCTGGGAATCACTGCGACACGCTGTTTGGAAACCGGTTCCCGGCTCTCCCATTCCACCAGCAGTTCCTTCTGTATCTCTGCAGGCAGCTCGGAGAATGTTTTGGCATCAACACTGGAAGGGAGGATGCACTGAGACCCTCCTTTTTGATCTCCGTCATGGGAACTTCCTTCATTGGTTTGTTCCTGCGGCTCTGGAATGTAGGCTTGGCAAAACCGAGGCTGAGCCGGAGACGAGCTTTTAAAAGCCGACCACGTATGCTCGCTTGCCGGTGCGTTTGCAGTAACCTCAAGAGATCTGTGCTGTGGACCAAGGCACCGGGGAGCAGACCTGAGTACAGCAGGTGGTGGCGCCCCATCGGGGGGCACAACAGACGGCACCAAAGAGCAAATGTTTTGATGTGCGCTCCCAGAATGCCG